TATATATATATATATATATATATATAAATATATATATATATTCAAATATATTAATTTTTCAGCAGCGATAATATTAAGATCGATATATTGTTCAAACCATTCTTGATGCTTTGACACTTTACTATACGCAATTATCGGAATGGAATTTTTCAATCAGCTTTTTGTTTCGAAGTAAAATTTATATTTCATCTTAAACAAATATTACTCTATTTCACTGAAACTGCAATAATATTCCGTTCGTTGAATTAATTTTTTTATAACAGAATTTCAAAATCGTTAGATAAACAAAATAAATTACTTAAATTTCAGTTTAAATCCTTATATAGAAAATGTAGAAAGAAATATAAGAAAGAATATAAACATGAGTATTTTTATATGTTCTCTTCCCGATTTTTATAAGCAATCTTAGATGTGGTCTTCTGATTCTAAACAATATTTGCGAATCACGCGTTCAATATTATCATAAGCTGAGAATTACACGGCCACATACAGCTTTAAATTTGGGATGTGAGCCTAAGTACATTTGCAGATCTGGATTTGTAGATCTACTTCTATGTACAGGGATTAAATACGTAGAGGATATGCAATCTTCGTTTGCATTATTTCAATACCTGAGTATAATTATCTAGCTAATTGTTTGCATCTTTAAAGCGTGATATCAGAACAAAATTCAGTTCAAGTACACGCGAATTTCGTATGTAATTTAATACAATTCAAAGAATTCAATGAAAATATCTATTTCAAATTAGTAAGACCTGTAGAAGATTTTTACTGAGTTTTGCTTTTTTATTTATAAAAACTAAAATAATACGTAAAATATTAAATTGCTAAAACTGATCGTATGTGTATTTGTGTTATAATTACTAATATAATTATTAATATTACTAATATTACTAATATTTTTTATTATCGAATGTATTATAATTACCAATACTTTTTATTTATATACTCGAAATTTTTTTCTTTCAGCTAAGATGTACCACGGCAAGCAGAGAAGGTACGTTCCGCTTGATACTTCACCATGACATAGATATTAAAGAAATTAACTCCCTAATTGCAATATACCTCGTAAATAATGTGCAAAAGAAACAAAGAAAAAACATAAAGGAAAGAAACCTTATTAGATGCTTAAATAACGTAGATGCTTTCCTGTTCGATAAATGGACGCTTTTTAAAAAAAATTTTTTTTAATGTATTATATCTAATTAGGCTGATTAGGCTTAGATAAAAATTTGGTTAAAATTACATTGTGTTATATAAATAAATTTGTTTTATCATTAAATATTATAATGCTGAGGAGACAGAATTTTTTAGAAAAAAATATTATCTTATCTCATTTGGAACGAATTAAATAATACTTTTGTGAAATGGCTTTTTTTTTACATTTTTTTGAATATTTAAAAATGTGTGTTAGAGAAGATTTAAGAAGCATTTAATAAACATTAAAGTATTATGATATCATTTAATGTGCTCTGAGACGTAGCGTAACGATTTCACGGCAAACCTTCCAACGAAGTCGATCAGGAGGGGTCTCTTGTTGCAATCGGTGTGTTTGCTCGTGATCTCTCAAGATCAAGAGAAATCTGGCCAATATACATTGTTTCAAGAGGAGCAAATGGAAACGCCTCCATCGCTGATTAGAGCAGACTAACAATGAGTTAGTAGTGTTAACGATCGCTCACACATCTGCTCGTTGACGCTGAAATTCTCTCCAGATTTCGTGGTGACAGTTACGGGAATCGAATTTACGAGGCAATAAGTAGCGTGCTCCGAGACCAAATGCTTGTCGCCTAAGGTCGACCTGTTAATGCGTAATCGAAACGATCTTGCGAGAACGAAAACGCGAGGAGATCCAGTCGGTTGCGTCTGAACAGACATGAGTCAGTGAAACGAACGAATCTCAAGGTACCTTAACGGTAAAAGATCTTATCGTATTACTTACCGTACTGTGCTTCGTAATTTTCGTCTACTTTTCCTTTCGCTTTTCTTTGATTTTGCCTGCGTCGATTCACAAGACAGCCTCCCAGGAAATAAATAAGAGGAAGGAAATCGCCGAAAATTGTATCGTAGAAAAATACAGGTAATAAAGAAAAATTATTTTAATTTACACTTTCTCACGCGGTGACAATGATCGATGTAATTGGATGCTCTCAATGTCAATGTGAATTCATTTTTTAAGAATAAAACGCTATTAATCAATAAATGAAGTTGTATCTACAAGACCGGAACTATATAATATATAGTATTGCCGTGTGAAAATTCTCTGGATCTGAATATTTATAACATATGCTAAAATGTGTTTTATGAATACTTAATGTCTCTACTTATTCGTAGATACAGCTTTGCTCGCAACTGACGTCTTACTTACGCCAATACAACGACCGAGGAGAGACCCGACGACGTCGAACGTAATTTTCATCGATCGTTATCAATCGCCGCTTTGCCATAAAAAACACACGCGCACGTGTAAAAACAAACGGTGGAGAAAGAGATTTACCGACACCGATGAACGTGCCAGTTAAATTCGTTCGTTATCACCCATAATTGGGTTGCCGTAGTGCGGCTGGCGATGTGTCTTCACCATCCCATCCGCGCGATTATTCTCTATCTGACGACTCGCTCTCCCGCGACATGTGACGCGATATCGCGCTACGACGATGTCGGATCCGAAGAGAGTAAACACGTCACACGCCGCGAGCGAATCTCATGTAAATTTCGTGTCGCGCGAAGGACCGACCGATCTCCGAGCGAGCGCACGTGTATGCGAGCGGAAAAGAAACCGCACTGTTGCATTACGCGCTCGTTTATCGTCGCGCTAACACTTGCCGCTCGCGAAACACCGTCCGCGCGCGTGTTCGATTAATTATCGAATCGAATCGCGGTTAGCGCGAGCACGGCGGAATTCAATTAACCGGATCTCTAATTCGATCCACCGTCACGTCATTCGCTCTCTCTCGCCACGCTCCTTCTATCTGCCCCTTTTATCTAACATGTCGTTACGGTGAAAGTTATCTGGTTATATGTTACGGAGTGAGTGTTTCTACGATCGATGATTGTTGTTTATCAAATCGGTGTGTGCGAATCGTATGAATTTTCATTTAAATTCCTCATTTGCAAATTATTCGCAAATGCACCTTTAACTTTTTTTAAGAAATATTCATGGACGTTTAATCGACTTCACACATTCCGTATTCTCCGCCGTCGTATGTACAACATCAATTTCTCGGAATTAATTACATCTTTCAATCTGATTTTGTTTGTCTTATTTTATTACAAAATTATTATTATTAAAATATTATTTAAAAGAAAAAATATAAGTGTGTCGGATATATATATATATATATATATATATATATATATATGCATTAAAAAAAAAGAGGATTGTCGATACAATAGCTTCATTTAAGAATATCAAATATTAGCCAATTAATCTATACAACTCTTACAACTCGCTACATTTATTTGCTAAATTTATTTGCATTGCTCAAATTTGTAATTACACTTGTGTTCCGCGATTCATTCGATGTAATGAACTAAAGTGTGATATATAGAATGCGTAGCTGTTATCGCTGTTTCCTCATCCAACGTCATACATTTCTCCTAATTAACCCTTCTCTCCTCCTACTATACACAACGTTATTTGATGACTCCGGGGGCATATATCTCTCTATTGATGTATGTAATATCAATCGTCTTGTCGCGATCACAATCCGCTTATCTATTATCTCAAAGATCAACTACCGACACTCGAATAAGAACTCCAATAAGAAATGTAAAGTCTTAAAAGTAAACCACGCATGTCAGACGCATATTATCCCCATTAAAAATTATCTCCATTGAAAATATTGAATCAGAATATCGGCCAATTACCAGTACCGACCAGTTATCGTATTGCAAGCACGCATTTAGTTATCAGATCTTCTTAGTCCGTGAAAGTTCTCGCGCTTATCACGACGCGAGTAGAAACGGAGCTGCGAATAATCGCCGAGTTTCGAGAAAGATATTTTCGCGATGTCAACAGGTAGTTTTGTGATCGCAGTAATAATAATTCTAACCCCGCCTCAAATAATCGATTCGAACGCGAACGCGATAATAATTTCCAGTTATCAGAGAATATTGTTGAATATTAAATTAATTGGAAATAAGCCCGTAATCTTACATTCAAATTCGTCTGTTTCTGAACACGTACAATTTAATATGAAGCTTATTGACCGTCAAAATCATTAATATTCATCATTACATTTAAATTTGTGATTTAAACTAGACTAAATTTTTTTGTTAAATTAATTTAATATAAGTTTTTCTCAATTTGTGCACTCATGTCATTTCCACACAGATAGATATTCTATGTTTAATAAAAAATTGCAGATATGTTCAAACAATATTCAAGAAAATTATTAATAATTCTTCGTTTTAAGAAGACGCTTGTTTTCAATTGTTTCAATGTAAATGTTAATGACTCGTAACAATATTATGATTTATGAAAAATATATACATTATCGATTTTTATTATCGATAATTTCACGCATTTATTTTTCATGTCTGTTCTCGACGCATCCATCTCTCTCGAGTCAACTCGATGCACGTGTTGCAATTTAATTTTTCCAAAAACAGTTGTCTCAAATATTTACCGATATAAACTTATCGAGCGATCGAATCGAACAATTCCATCACGTCACTCAACTGCATTATCGTTTACTCGATCAATTTCTTCTGACAACGCCAGCCATGCGAACTTAATCTCTTCACGATACTCATCTCGGTTTACATCGAATAAACGAAATTTGTTTATGTCAAACTTAATCTGATGGAAAATTGATAGATTGCACTCACTGTTTACATAAGCTTTTTTTAGCAATTATATCGCATTATGTCACTTCAAGAATGCATCATTAAGCACGTTACATGCCCCCCCATTAACACATTGTATAAATACATATAAATATATATATATATATATATATATATATATAGTATA